GCTCAGCCTAGCTCAGCCCTGCATTGTGGACACAGCCAGGGCTCAGCCTAGCTCAGCCCTTTGCTGTGAACATGGCCATGGCTCAGCCTAGCTCAACCCTGCATTGTGGACACAGCCAGGGCTCAGCCTAGCTCAGCCCTTTGCTGTGAACATGGCCATGGCTCAGCCTAGCTCAACCCTTTGTTATGAACATGGCCATTGCTCAGCTTAGTTCAGCCCTGCATTGTGAACATGGCTGTAGCACTGAGTTCTTTTCCTTTTTAGCATTAAGTCTATATTTAAATCATTGTTTATTTAAAAAACTGTTTTCTTATTGGACTTGTAAAGTCTTTGAGAGCAAGAGACTTAGTATGTTTTACTCACTTACGATAGAAAAGAAAAGAGTTTGAGTTTAATCCTTTAGTGCTAACAGTAGTGCAGAAGCTGTGCCTGAGTGCCTTTGACAGCTGGGACAGGTGCCTTCATCCTGTTCTAAAAATGCTCAACGAGGGTTACAGTTAACACGTTTGCAGATCCTGTTTTAGCTAATCTAGGAAGTTGCTATCTGTACTGCTGACTTTTGAAAACAAACTTAATTATAATTACTAACATACTAAACATGAAGGAGCAGGAGTTAGGAAAAAATTAGGAAATGTTAAGGAAAAAGATTTTAAGCTTTAACTTTTATAAGTACAGTAGAACCTCTGTACATCGACCACCCAAGGGACTGTGACAAACTGGTCCTCAGCACACAGAGGGGGGCAGCGTAAGGAGCGGGGCTGCTGCACGGACACACACATGTGGTGCACGTCCGGCTGTGAAAATTAGGCCATCTGAAGGTGGTCAGCTATGGGGTTCTTAAAAATCTCCATAATGGGAATAATACAGGTGACCATAGGGTTCGTGTGCAATTATTTTAAACTGCACACAACCTTCATGGCCACCCTGTATACCTACCTCAATATTTCATGAGGACTAAGTGAAATAATATTTATAAATTACTTAGCCCAGAGCCTTTCCTTACTAAATATTATCTATAATAGTAAATTTGATGATGTGTCTCCCTTAATATTGTGTCTTTACAAACACATTTTACCAGATTGTTACTTACTCTTCCTCTGTCAGTATTCCTGTCTGAAGCCTAGAGCTGAACACACCTTGGAGACCATTTGAGAATGTCGTGGGAAAGGCTCTGAGGCCGTTCTGTGCTTGCGGTTGCCGTCTCTCCTCACTATGACCATGACCATCTTGGAACTCCTACTGGTTTCTGCCAGATGAAACCAGAAGAGGTGGCAGCGTTTCTGTAAGCCAGGACAGGAGGCCACCAGGATGAAACACTACACAGGGATACATTACATTTCTATAATTTTGGCATGTTTTTCAGTCAATGACCAGAAACAAATATTTTGAAGAAAATTAATGAATAAAGGGAAGAATTTATTACTAAAAATTTAGAACCACTTGAAAATTGAGAAAGCCTGACCTTTTCCCCTGTTTATCTTAGGGTGATGAAATGAAGAAGTTAGGGATACAACCTATTCCCATGATGGACAGAGACAAGAGCGATGAAGTCCCACAAGGCCAGGTATGGCTGCGAATATTAACGTCAGACTGTGTGAGGTGGTTACAAAATCATACATGAGTATAAGTGGACACTGTCTTATAGTATGTTTGGGTACAGAGAAGGGGTCATTCCGGGTCTGGTGATGTAGAAACTTAGTGATTTATCTACAAGGGCTGAGAACTAGAACAAGAATTGCACTCAGATGAGCCTTCGGGCTGAGACCCTGAGGCAAGCAGACTGCAGCCGGGGTTGTCTCTGCAGCCGACCTGAGGGCCAGCTCTGGCTGGGACTTTGTCCCAAGGTTGTAGTCAAAACTGGAAACAAACGCTTGAGGGTCTGGCTGTCTCATGGACTGGAAGGACACTGTTCTCAGAGGATAGAACGTAGACTCACTCCAAACCTTCTTGTGTTAGATGGAGTTTGGGGACAGCTAGACTAAGATCAGGAAATCCTGTGAGGTGTAAGGAGTCACAGACACCCTTCTCAGCCCTTCTCCCCTGCCGATGCCATTCCATCCCAGTACCTGGGCTTCCTTTTCTGACTTTAAAGCAGGGATGGACTTGAATTATTGAACTTTTAAAAGCAGAAAATGCACGTTTGTCTATACAAAGATTTTTTCAGAGGTGACATAGATTTTGATTCAGGTCCCTTTTTTTTCTGTCAAATAAACCTTAGTAACTTAGGACATTTTGAGTTTTGTCTCAATGTAAATTGGCATTAATTATCCTCTTGCCAGGACTTACTGCCTCAGTTATGTTTGTTTTATTTGTTTATTTTTGTGTTTTGAGAGCTCTTGTGTTGTCTTAGCTTTGCATGTGTTTATGTGTGGTATGGTGTATTTCTTAGATTATGGTCTTTCTGTATCAGTCTTCTAATTGCATAATAAGGAAGAAAGTTATGTACAAATAATTATAATATAGATAGGTTCAGAGACATTTAAAAAAATTCACAGGATGGTGGTTTTGGATAAATTCTTTAATTCTTCTACTTTACTTAAAATTGACTTCTACAAATTTAGGCAAGTCCTCAGCTCATACTGGGCATCAGCATTGCAAGTAGGTCACATCCTTTTCCAAGGCTGTGGCCCCTAGTCCTTGGCTTTCCTGACCAGCTGTCCCCACTCCCCACCTTCACCCCCCCCCACCATGCCCCTGACTCTCGGCCCCGCACTCTGCACCTATGTCCTGCAGTTTAGCTGCTGCCCCACCCCCCACCTGCCCCTTACTCGGCACACACACGCTGCACCCGTGTCTTGCAGTTTAGCTGCTGTGCCCCCCCCCATGTGCCCCTGACTCTCAGCACACACGCTGCTGTCCACCCCCCACGTGCCCGTGACTCTCAGCACACGCACGCTGCACCCATGTCCTGCAGTTTAGCTTTTGTGCCCCCACCACGTGCCCCTGACTCTCGGCACACACGCTGCACCCGTGTCCTGCAGTTTAGCTGCTGGTGAACATGTGCGTGGAGGTTTCCCATATTTGGCCTCAGAGCTGCTGGTCTTGCCTGTTCAGCGTCTGCTTTTCATATCTTATTTTAAAAGCCATTTTCCATTCTGAGATTTATAAATATTTGCCCATATTTTCTTTAGTTACTTTTTTGTTTTATTACTATACATTTGATTTGTTGATTCATTTAGAATTTATTACATTATATGGTTTAAGATCTGGATCTGAATTTTCCCTTCCCTGTTAAATAGTCATCCCAACAATATCTACACAGCTGAACTTCTCATTGAGGGGGTCAGAGTACAGGTTCCATTCATGTGTTTTACATTAACAGAATAGTTTGTTTTAGAATAGTTTGGGGGGGGGTTGCCCGAATTCCAGATTTATTTACAATAGGAGAGGGTTTTAAACAAAATATTTCTGTGATAAGCTAATATTTTACCAACCATGTCACTTTTTAATTATTGATTACTAAGAAATTATTCTTTGTTATAATAACATAATGCTCTACTTTCCAATAATCTATATTTTGGGATCTTTTGCCCCATAATGTCTGCTAAATAGTAAAACAAGTAAATCTCTGCATGACACATAATGTTAACTATGGAAATGCAAAGGCATGATTCTAGAATACCTGAGGCTGGGTAGTTTATAAGAAATGTTCATTTGGCTCACACTCAGGCAGGCAAGCTCACACCCAGCCCACCCCCCTCAGCAACCTCATGTTCTCACATTGCAAATATAATCATTGCTTCTTAATAGTCTCCAAAAGTCTTAACTTGTTCCAGCACCAGCCCAGAAGTTCAAAGTTTCATCTGAGACTCAGGCAAGTTCCCTTATAGCTGTTGTGAGTTTATGGAATCAAACAAAGTGGTGGAACAGACGTTGAGTAAACATTTCTATCCTGACAGGGATGGCCCTGAGGAAGGGGTAAGCAGCCCTAGGCAAGTCTGAAATTCAGCAGAACAGACTTTAAATCTTAAAGCTCCAGAATCTCCCTTGACCCGCATCTCGCCTCTGGGCATATGCATACGAGTGAGCAGCCCAAAGGCCAAAGCCTTGCTCACAGCTTTGCTCGGTGCAGCCCATGGGCTGTTCTCATGGAGTCTGATGCTTGTAGAGTCTGGTGTTTGTGGCTCTTCCAGGTGGAAGTTCATTCCATCGTCTAGGTGCCACTCTAGGAGGGGCTCTGCTCCCTGCAGACCTACTCCGGGCTCCAGGGCTTCCTGAAATCCAGGGGGAAGCTTCCAAGCCCTACCACTCTTGCACTCTGCCCACCTGCAGCTCACGCCACAGTGAAGCCAGCAGGGCTAGAGCTTGGCACCCTCCCCAGCAGCAGCCTCAGAGCTAGCTGGGACTCTCTGAGCTGTGGTTGGAGCCGGGACAGTGCGGATGCAGGGAAGGGCACCCTCAGATGCAGGGGCTAGCAACACCTGGAACACCTGGGGGTGTCTCCCCACCACTTTGTCCTCTGGAGCCTGCTGGGACAGGAGGGGCAGCCTCCGGGATCTTTGCAGTGCCTTGGAGCATTCTGCCACTTGCTTGGCCATCAGCTCCCGGCCCCCTTTTATCTGCCTGAACTTTCTAGCCTGTGGTTGTCCTGCAGCTCTTTGCTCCTCTACCACCTAACAAGCTGCTCCTTTTCCAGATTTTACTCTCTGCTTCCATTGTAAGTGCCCGTTTCAACTTCGGGTCACTTCTTTGCTGCTAAATCTGATTATCAGCCTGTAGAAACAGCCACATCACTTCCATTCTTTGAACACCTTGCTGCTTAGAAATTTCTTCTGCCAGATACCGTAGGTCAGATCACTCCCAAGTTTGGCCTCCCACAAAGTCCCAGGGCAGAGACACAGTACTGCCAAGTTCTTCACTGCAACATGACCAGGGCGACTTCCCCTCCAGTTCCCGTGAGTTCCTCATGTCCATCGGGGCTCTAATCAGCTTTCTCTGGCCATATTTTTAGCAGCATTTGGTAGAGACCACTCTACAAGTCTCTAAGGACTAAACCTTCCCCCATCTTCCTGTCTTCTGAGCCCTCCACATTCTTCCAACCTCTGCCCGTTCTGTACTCAAATCCAAAGCCACTTCCACAGTTTCAGTATCTTTACAGCTTTGCCCCACTCAGTGGTACTAATTTTCTGTCTTAGTCTGGGTGGTATTGTGCTAAAGGAATACAGAGGCTGGGTCATTTGTAGGAAAAAAGGGTGATTTGGCCCAAGGTTTTCCAGGCCATATAAGCAGCCTGGCTCTGACATCTGCTGAGGGCAGTTTGGGGAGAATTCTCATCAAGGCAGAAGGAAGGGGATTCAGTGTGTGTGTGTGGGGGGGGGCAGGTAACTGGTCTCTTTTCAACAACTAGCTCTCAGAAGTCTGTACAAACTAAGAGAGCAAGAACTGACTCATTACTGTGAGGACAGCACCAAGCCATTCATGAGGAGACCCCACCTCCAACACTGGGATCCCATTTCATCCTGATCCAAACTATATCCCTCACTGTGGTGGCAGATTGAGCAAAGGAAGAAGCAAAAGGGACCACATGTGTCTGATGCTTCTGAACTCTTTGTTGCGTCTGGTTAAATCTCAGTTTTGTTTAGGAATTAGAGAGCCGTGGTTTGGGAGTGACCTCACCTGGGGAGCCAGTTTTATCTTGTGTGTGCTGTCAGCCATTTGGACAGCTGCTCATAGCCACAGACTGTCCTATGGTTCACGGGACCTATGGTCTTTTCCTGGCCTTATAGGTCAGTTCAAGGCAGCTTCCTTTATTCTCTGTGACCTGGAATTCCTAAGAAGGTGTTCTTTCTTATTTTTAGAGTACTACAATTTTCAAATTGTGAAACCTAATATGTACAGAGAAAATGGTAGCCTGAAAGGTCTATTATGAAATCATCAGTGTTTATTGTAGGTCAAAAAAGGGGTGGGGTGGGGGGCGAATAAAGTGTTAGGAGAACAAACAAGGGGCAAAGCCCAGAGGAACAGAAAACACTGTTACAACTCCTGACTGTCAAGCTGGAAGAGATGGCTGGCAGGGCTGACTTTGAAATGTCCGTAATAGAGCACTAGTTTTCCCCAGACATGAGAAAAGGACTTGAATTGTAGATTGAATGATCTATAAATAGTCATTTAATGTACCTGGGTTCTAGATGCCAATGGCATTAACTTTTAAAACATATTTTAAGTTTTACATTTCATTTCTAGGATGTATTTTAATGCATTTTAAAATGCATACTACAATAATATCCCAAATATCACATGTGTCAAAACTAGAACATTTAATTTTGCAATTAAGCTTCAAAAACAGAAAACTAAGAAATGTAAGTATGACTAGAATCACTAACGGACGGTTTTGTTTCTTGCCTGTGGCTTCTGCACTGAGGCAGCTTGGATTCTACAACGCTGTAGCCATTCCCTGCTACACCACCCTGACCCAGATCCTCCCTCCCACGGAGCCCCTCCTCAAAGCATGCAGGTACGTGCAGTAGTTCCAGCGTGACAATACTAAGACTCTGTGTGGTACCTGTGACTCCACCAATATGTGTGTCTCAGCCACCATTTACAATCAGTACCATAACTTCATGGGCTCTGTATTTGAGTAGGTATCGGGTGGTTGTGTTCAGGGGTTCCCGAGGTCCTAGTCTAGCAGCTCCACAGGGGCGGCTTCTCCCCTGTTATCTTGTCACAGATGAGTCTTGGATGCTCAGGCAGCTCATCCTGGCAGCTCTGACGAGAGGGAAGTAGGAGCAGGCTGGGGGCAGCGGTGAGTGACCAGGCCAGTCAGGGTCAGAGAGCCACCTGACCAGGAAGGTCTCCATGCAGAGACCATGGTCAAGGTCTGGGGGATCCATCCACTTGCTCACACTTGTATTCAATCTAGGTGTTTCCAGCCGTTGCTTTCATAAAGGAAACTTAGCTAATTCTTGTAAGGGCAAGCTGGAATTTCATCCTTTATGAAAGTTGTATGTGTGCTGAGGGGGACTCGCCTCCTGAGAATCCCTGGGATCAGGGGAGAAATCCCTGGGCTGACCAGCTTGTATCATACTGCTAAGTGGCATGTGGTGTTGGCCTATGAGAGGCTTGAGTAGCCCAGTGGCTGTCATTGATATCATAACCATTCATTTATGGTATGCTGCACAAATGTAGGTGAAGAGCAGTTGGACATGAAGCCATTCATTCTCCAAAAAGGAGCAACAAGTCAATGATGGTGATGGTGATGATGGTGGTGATGATGATGGTGATGGTGCTATGATGGTGGTGTGATGGTGCTGGTGATGGTGGTGATAATGGTGGTGATGATGGTGGTGATGGTGGTGATGATGGTGCTGTGATGGTTGTGGTGATGGTGGTGATGATGGTGGTGATGGTGGTGATAATGGTGGTGATGATGGTGCTGTGATAGTTGTGGTGATGGTGGTGATGATGCTGGTGATGATGCTGGTGATGGTGGTGATGGTGATAGTGGTGATGGTGGGAATGATAATGGTGGTGATGATGCTGGTGATGATGCTGGTGATGGTGGGAATGATAATGGTGGTGATGGTGGGAATGATAATGGTGGTGATGATGCTGGTGATGATGCTGGTGATGGTGGGAATGATAATGGTGGTGATGGTGGTGATAATGCTGGTGATGGTGGTGGTGGTGATGGTGGTGGTCATGGTGGTGATGATGGTGGTGGTGATGGTGGTGGTGGTGGTGGTGATGATGGTGGTGGTCATGGTGGTGATGATGGTGGTGGTGATGGTGGTGGTGGTGGTGATAATGCTGGTGATGGTGGTGATGGTGGGAATGATAATGGTGGTGATGGTGGTAATGGTGGTGCTGGTGATGTGCTGGTGATGGTGGTGTGATAGTGGTGGTGATGGTGATGATAATGGTGGTGATGGTGGTGGTAGTATGATGGTGGTGGTGATGGTGGTGATGATAATAGTGGTGATGGTGGTGATGACAGTGGTGCTGACGATGGTGAAGACGGTGATGGTGGTGATGATGGTAATGATGATGGTGCAGAAGTCCCCACCCCATGCTGTTTTAAAAAGACAGGACAGTAATATCAGTGTAGAGGTGCTTGTGAGGAAAGAGACTCAGCTCACGTCACTTAGTTTATGATTTAAGGAGGGTGGAAAACTTGAATGGGAATGTCTTTCTCTTTAAGTTTTTTTCTCCCAAAAAGAAATGTAAGCCATTTCTGTCTTTCTAGCCTCACCTCACGTTTCTTTCTGTCCTTTCCTTGACTTCTCTTAAGGGTGAACACAGTTAAGAACATTAGAATTTTTTAAAGATTTACATTTTACTTTTCAAAGAACTCCCGTGAGGGAAGGCCAAGAGAACTAAGGAAGGACTGGGCAGCCTGTGTGTCCGTGTTCTGGGCGGGGGCCAAGCCCTTGTCCACCTGTTTCCCATAACTACACTGAGGTTGGCTGGAGCGGACACACTGTCAGAGGATGGAGGAGGGACACTGGGCAGACTGTCAGAGCCACAGCTAACACACGGTTCTCTCATTCTGTGCCTTGAGATTTATGTTGGG